CGCTGGTGGAACCAGTATGAGAACGTGCCGTGGCCCGACCGCCTCATGAGCCAGGTGTCAGCCTTCGTGGAGGGTTGCGACGAGCACGCCCGGTTGATGCGGCGCATGCTCGTGCGCTACGCCATACTCAAATAATGATTATTATTGCCTGTATTACTTAATCATTTAATTTGTTTGTTTCCTTTATTTTTGAAATTTTGTTATTTTCCTTTTGATTGTTTTGAGACAGGGTCTTGCTGTGTAGTTCAGATTTTCCTTGAACTAGTAGCGGTCCTCCTGCCCTAGCTTCCGCTGTGTGGGGATTATAGTCGTGTGCCACATGCTCAGTGTTCCTTTCCTTTTCTAAAATTGAGAAATGCTGTTATTCTTTTAGTAAATCCCTGAATGTTCTTTTTAAAAAAAAAAAAAAAAAACTTATTTTTTTGGTACAGGGTCCTGATACACATCTCAGACTCATAGTGATTCTTCTGTCTCAGCCTCTCCAGCACTGGGATTACAGGCTTGCACTACCATGCCTGGTTTTGGGGGCTGGCATGGCATGTGGTACAGGGGATTGAACCTGGGTCCTTGTGCTTGCCAGGCAGGCGCTTAGACCACTGAACTATCGCCCCAACCCCTAAATGTAAAAAATAAGTTGGAAGTTTTTTTTGATTAGTTTACTAAAATGTAAATTTTCAGGAATCTTAAATGTATTTATGTCTTAATTTTGCAGCAGATGACATCCTTATTTCTCAGTACTCGGTCGGACAGAAAGATGCTTTAAGAACTATTTTAAAGCAAAAGTAAGTGTTGTTTGTAGAAACTGGACCTTGTCTTCATGCCAGCTTCATGTATAATTTGAGCATAGGAAAACCATATTTTTCCTCTATGTGATGTAGTATATGATGATGTATACAAAATACTGAATAGCTGTTAGCTACTATTATTATAGAAGAGGCTCTGCTCTAAGCACTGTATTACATTAGCCCATTTAATACACCTCAAACCCTATGAAATACATTGTTACTATCCCGCTTTACAAAATATTCCCCCACTTAATACTCACAAAGTGTTATGTGCTTGCCATCTTAGTTTTACAGAAAGATCTATCTATCTATCTATCTATCTATCTATCTATCTATCTATCTATCTATCTGAGACAGGGTCTTGCTATATGGTGCAGGCTGACCTTCAACTTACTTATGTTGCCCAACTGGCCTCGAACTTGTGATTTTGCTGCCTCAGACGTATGATTGCAGGCATGAACCACCACACCCAGGTTTTTGAGACAGGGTCTTACTATGCAGTTCAGGCTGGCCTTGAACTCACTATGTTGCCTGGGCTGATCTTAAGCTTGTGGTGGGCTCCTGCCTCAGCTTCCCAAGTGCTGGGATTACAAGTGCGCACCATCATTGGCTTATAGATCTTCATTTTATTTATTTTTCTTTTCTTTTTCCATAATTTTATTGAGAAACAAATAGCAATGAGACAGTTTCAAATCAAATTGGTAGGACAGTTTCAATAATTAACACATTGGGGCTGGTGAGATGGCTCAGTGGTCTAAAACACCTACTTAAAACAAGCGCAGCAAAGCACAGGGACCACGGTTCAATCCCCAGCACCACATGCCAGCCAGCCCC